TGATGGGAGTGACTATCATCTGCCAACTATGTTCGCCTTTGTTCTTGAGTCGAATTACATCAGGTCCAGTTACAGTTATTACAGTTTGCAACGTAGGGATCGGTTTTCAGTTCAACGGTTGGTAATTCCACTAATATGAACATAATTACTTACCAACCTAAACTGGATCAGTTGACATTGTTAAATGAATAGAAATTTTGGTTTCATTTACAGACGTGAACACAAATTGAGCGGAATGCTGGTATACAAATTAGATTTTACACGACAGAAGTAGGCCAGCAATTTGTGATGTGCTGAAAGATTATGTGAACACTTTCTTCGTATGAAGATACACTGCTCAAGACTTCATTGGAGAATTTTTAAATAAGTCATATATAGCGACCACGCCTGCAAGGCCGAGCCGTGCCACTCAGTTGAATTCCGTTGAATTCCTTTTTCTCGTCTTCACCATGGTTGATTTTCTTTAGGCGTTAAATGTTGGATGTCTTTTTTCCTAGTTGTCTGTTACTCAGCTTTGAAGAATGTGTGATACTTCCTAAAAATGAGAGCAGTAAAAGGTCTTAAATAAGTGATCACTTTATGAGTTGATTTCTATAACGATTCAGAATGACTTATACGTTTAGCCTTATAGTGAAAGATCCAATTTGTTGCAGACAGGAACATTCATGTAGGTGCTGCAGGAAGAGATCTAAGAATTATTCGTCATCTCGTTTCTTAAACAATATTTTAAATTAGTTTCTCACATGTAACAATAGACGATGCGTAGATTATTGTCCGGTTTGACAAACATTCAAAGTATCTATACTTGACCATACATTTATTTGAATCGTCGACTTTTGGAACCCTAATTTTGTTTCACAGTGCTGAACCGCTTGTCTGAACTTTTGTAACTGCTATTTACAATTCAAACCACAAAGTAAAATAACTTTTCTATTATTTATAGGACTTGTTACAGTAATCTCAGTTACATAAATTAAAGGCTGATGGGTTTAGTGATTAAAGACAGTACTTCTAAAATTCAGTCAATTGTGATTATTACACATCGAAGAACATCAAAAATACAATTTTGACAGCAATAAACATTATGTATTTCGTTGTCAGTATAGGGTTGTTGAGTTTCATTAAAATCATGAACCGATCAACGTTAATATACTACTGAAAACCTTAAGGCACTAGACAGCCGTTTTATCTTTGTGTAGGGCTCCTCGGCAGTGCACATCCACGACTCTGAAGGTCCTGGGTTAAATTTACGTTTGTTGCATAAAATGACCTTTTGCTGATTTAGAACTTTCAACGGTGATATTACCATTCCCTAAATATTTTGATTTCTTCAGATTTTTATGAGTCACTGTACTGTCCTATGTAATGAGTTTCTCTCACTTCAAAAGAACCATACAAATATGACCACGTTGTTATAAATCGTCGTAGAATTGAAGATTTTATATTACTATCCTGTCTTAGGAAAACAGTATTAGGTGGGAAAAAAGTGTCAGGTAGCTTATTTAGTTTTTTTCAAATGAAAAACATTTCGAGCAGTTGCTATCTGCTTTTAGCAATAAGCAAATCAGTGTTCTAACAAAGATATAAGGCATTTATTACAACGTGAACATTTTAAATTTGGTTGCGATTAAAATTCTATGTTTAGAGCTAATATTTTTGATCGAGCTTATCAAAATTTTACGACATAAAGTTTATTTCTGCTTTTTGGTCAGTATAATTAGAGTCAGGCATATAAAACTGTCGCATGCTGTCCCATTACTGTTGTTGTCGTAATTCAATGAGAAGGATGCTTCCAGCATAAATAAGTGTAAAAATAAATTCACAAGATTCATACTATCAATGTTACTGTAACATACGTATTTAAGTCTCGAAAATCATCAAACTGTATCACGAGGCAAGCGCTAACTTCTAAGAATATCACAAATGATATTGTAAGTAACGTTGCTTATTACTTGTCGTATGGTGATCAATCTAATAACCAAACAAATGATGTGCATAAAGTCCTTTGTGGGAGAATTGAATTTGGTTGAGGGAATACTAATCATAATAATCACGACAATGATAATTATGACAATACTGTCAATGTTATTCCACCACAAGTGTTTCGAGGAAATGACGGCATCGTTATGGCTTCAAATCACAGAGTGTTATTATTGTGACCACCACTAGAAACATCCAAGCACTGGGTGAACGTTTCTTTCTTCTATGTGACTACTCTATAGCTCACATTGACAACCGTAACTCTAACGCTACAATGCTCAACTTTCTTTTCGGTTCCATGTATGAACGCTTAACTGTTCACAAAATTACTACTGATTGCTTTACAATGATCACTAAAAATACAAGAAACTTGTATATTTTTAGGTGCTTATGAACGTTTATTGAGAACTTGAAATTTTACTTTCGAATCATTATTTATTGGTGACAACTCCTGATTAATCCCATGGTACTCTACCAGTTGGTTGAAATTTGAATTTAACTGTGCAGTTGCGATGAATTTACTCATCATTAAGCAGCGTCTCCTCAGGTATTATCATTTAATACGATGTTTAACCGGTATAAGAAGCACATTAGGCTCAATAATTTAGTGTTTACTGAGCCGAAAAGGAATCAGAACACGAGCTTGTGAATTGACAAAAGATATCTATTACCATCAAGAAGGATGCCTCAATGTTTCCAAGTTCTTCAGGTTGCACGTTCTCTGTACTTATACTAACTAGCATTTTGTAAGAGGATGTTATCAGAAAGGTTAGTAGAGAATAAACGGACAACTACTCTATAGTCACTGCTTTCATATTGTTTCCAACAGAAATACTGGCATACAGAAAGTTGACAAGTAACACTGAAACAGTTTGATATGCACCCTGGTAGTCCTGCATATACCATAACGAATTGAAAGAACACAACTAGACGTATTGTATTTAGGATCAAAACCAAGCAAGGAGCAATAGTGGACGAAAAAGATCGCCACTTGTGGAAAAGCTTCTGACACTTAAGATGGAGAATCAATGACCACAAGTAAGCAGTATTTGCAGAGACACGGGCCACAATAGTCTGGATGAATTCTTTGCTAGACATCAGACGATACTGCCGATTGGATGCATATCGAAGGACGGTTTTTCAACATCTGACAATTCACGATTGTTCGCTGTGCGACATGTATATGGGCACATTTTCAATCACCAATATTTGAGCCCTGCCGAAGATTTCGTTTCCTCAACACGGAAGTGTCCATTATGGCGAACAGGTTCAATATTAAATAAAGCAGCATAATCATATAGCCAGAAATTCCATCGGCAGTAGTGGATAGTTCATCCAACTTGTTAAGATAGACTGGAAATATTGAGGTCATCTGAACAAACGTCAACACTTTTATGATCAACGACTAAACTAAGAATCGTTTCATGATATGACTGGAGAGCTACTCAGACGTAATGGAGGGTAGTCGTATTTGAATAGAGCTCAAAAATTGGCAATCGTTACGAAATCTAATGAAAGTCTATCCTGAAGAACCTGAAGATAGACGTACTCTAAATCAGCTTCAGAAAATACTTTGGAACAATGAACTTGACTTGACTTCTTCAGCTTCAACTGTGATATGTGTTTACCTCAACAAACAGCAATTCAAAATTAAAGACTGAAATCCTATCCTTCAATAACAGTTAACACAAACAGCCACGAAATGTTTAATAAAAGTATCGGAATCTTCTTTGAAAGCTAATTAAGGCAAGTGTAGTTAGTGCAGTTTTAAAAACAAAGCTTTGAATAAATTAGATGACTGTATACTGCCTCCATCAACAACGAAATTGTGGAATAAACCAAAAAAGGTATGTATTCGCTGTTATATGCGGGACGTAAATTTTTAAAATTGTAATGAAAAATCAAATATGGTCATTGAAACCTCCAATATTACTCAGATCTAACAACGTGGTTTAATATAATCATTAGCGAAATGAAAAGTAGTTCAAAATACTAACATGATCTACAAGTTTGGTCACAATTCAAGGATTCACTATCACGAAGAAGACATGATTTCCGAGAACAAAGCTTGCCTCCTGACACATCAACTCAGCAATGCAAGTTCAGCCAGCTGACAAGTCTCAAATGTGATGAAGCCACGCGTGGCCTGGAATCTACTGCTGGCCACCATCCATCTCCGCTTATATTATTCGTAATTTATTATCAATATCGAGTCAACTAGCACACGATGCACATACAACATGAAAAGACTGGTCAGTTGAGAGCTTTCAACATCAACGAGAACATTTGAACAACCAATGCAAATGAATATTCGTAAAACCTTTTCTCATAATTCCATCAGAATAAGACGAATTATCTGCCACGTATTGTACAATAAAATGATCAATCAATAAAGCAAAACTTCAGGGTGTTTGGTTTTCAAATACGTCATCTTGTTTGGCAATGCTTCTGCTGAATCGTTACCAGTTCATTCAATCTACACCTTTCTTTATTCCTACTTCAGTATCAACGGAACTGCAGTATTATTTCATATTCATTAGTCATAACACCTAATTAACAACAGTCTGTCATCCAACTTTCATTTACCAATAAATAAATAAGTAACGAAGGATTGGGTTGTCTTATTTACTACTGATTAGGTATTCCGACAGTTCAGCTTGAACAAAGAACGTCGTCAGTTTCGAATATTTTCCAGTAGTTAGACGTCCACAAAATGGATATTCAAAACAAAACTATTGTTCATTGCTATCGCCACATAATCACGTGCATACGATGCCGTTAATTCACAAGTTCAATAATGAAAACTGTTGCGAAAGTAATCAGATTTCATTGAATGAGAACAATCACATGAATATTAAAAACCATATTTTGTATTCTACCAACAAAATGATATCAGTAATTACATGAGCAATCATGAATATTGTAAGTGGTTCCATGAAATAACCTCCAATTCATGGAAATGATTAACAAAATAGAGAGTATCAGCATGATGAAAACAGATGATAAGACGATTCTAAGACTTAAAAATCATTTTCCTTTCTTCTGTACAACCATAGGAATAAGATACAGCCTGAGCCTATAACAATAAAAGATACAACTATCGGTGTTACAATATACAAGAGAAATAATGGCATGATAGTGTGAACGTATTGAAGTAATTTCCTTTGTTCATTGTCTTCTGCAGTTTCTGTAGTCAAATTCTGGAAGAAATGAAATAGTGCAATAATTACCAAATATCAAATATTTACCAAATGAGACTCATTGTTTTGAATAGCTTTCCTTACCTGATTTTTTAAATCAGTTTCCACAATTTCTTTAGGGATTTCTTTTTGTTTGTTAAATGTTGAATCTCTCGAAACACTGACATTTGAGATCATCTGAAGAAAAGAACAACGACAATGATAATAAATACCAAATATGTACCAAATAAGATTCAGTTGTTTTAGTAGTAATCATTGACTCATTTCTTAAATCAGTTTCCGTGATTGCTTGAGTGTTAACTTCTTGTTTGATAAGGGTTGGTTTACTCAAAACACTGACATTTGAGATCGTCTGAAGAAGAGAATAACGGCAATGATAATAAATATGAAATGTATACCAAATGAGGTCCACTTTTTTCAGTAGTTTTCTTCGAATCATTCCCCAAGTCAGCTTCAGTGAGTTCTTCATTTGTTTTTTCTTGTTTGTTAAGTGTTGATTCACTCGGAGCGTCTACATTCAAGTTATTCTGAAGAGTAATAAAACAGTGGCAATATTACTAAATATCAGATAATTCATCATTCATTATATACAGTTGTCAGTACTGATAACAGAATTGAATCCAACAAATAGTTGCATAATTTACATTTGCACAATATGATCAATGAATAATGATATAGAATATCTGCTACCGATTTGACGGTCAATGCGATAAGTACACATATCCAAAAAAACTGACGACTTATGTATGTGTAATGAAATTTGTTTCCTGGAAGTCACAGCTTATCACTAACTTAGTTATAATCAACAAAATCACAACTGACAGCTTTATTATTGCAGCCCACACAGGATGCATATTTCTTAACAAGCAATCGGGCCCCCAAATGCCCTGGTACGGCCGAGAGTGGGGAGAGTCAGCTCTCCCGCTCCAAATGCTCTCACACGGCCAAGCGTATATAGCCTCTACCAGCGAAGTACTACTCACTGCTTTCTCGTGGCACCGATGTTGTTCAAGAAAATGAGAGGACGAAGAGCGAATGTCCGGCACTTTAACCGGGCTGATGGACACGAAACATTCACCCAGGGGAGTTGGAAAACACTGATTCCAAACCAATGGTGCTCATGGGCTCCAGTATCCTGAAGGAACGAATGGCGTATGAATCAACCATTGGTCACTGGCTATCATGGGACTGCATCTTCTTACGATGCTCTATTGCCTTGTGAATCAGATCTTTAGGTCAAAGGCTCCGGGTGTGGCCCCCTCAGAAAACCACCTGCTTCAGTTTGAGTATCTGGGCAGCATCCCAGCCCTCACACAAATCAAATAAGATTTGTGTGGCGCATATGTATCTGGTGATTCCTTGTACCAATATTTATGTGTTTAAATAATATTAATAACACCAGCGATCGGAGACACTTGTTCTGAACTTCAACAATGGGAGACTACGAACTTGTACTAATTATCCAAACGTGCTATACAATTTTCAACAGAATACCGTTTAGCATTCAAACTGGTTTCATCGTTATTTCTCGATAGTTCACGCACATATCTGGTCTTATTTTGAACATCGTAGATCACTACATAATTTATGAGCTGAAAAACAACATGTTTTTAGGTATTGGAGTTTAACAACGTTTCTATTCCGTGTTAAATGTCCAAATGCAAACAAAACATTGTACTCGAATCTGATGAAATATTGTAAACGTATACAATGCTTTGATTTATGTGCTGAAGGAGCAATACAAATCAACACATATTCGTAACAATAAAAAGGTCTTCTCTTTCGAATAAAAAGTTTTACAATATAGAATGTGGTTATATTGGAAACATGTGAAGTTTACTAATTGCTTACTTTAACCCGACAACCATTTAATTTGAAATCACGAATATCGTTATCATTGCTGGTAACGCACATATGGGCACTTTCACACCAAATACACATTTCATTCGACGACTTTGCGTCCTGACATTCTTCGATTGAGTTGCGTTTTGGACAATCTTCAGTTTGAAGAATGAAATGATTACATTTCAAGTTATCGAACAAAAGATAAGTGAACTACAAAACACGTAACAATAACTCAATGATATAATGGTGATTTCAGAGTTGAGTGACTATTTCTTTCACTAGGAATTTGCCATCCACTTTCAATGTCAATCACATTTCACGACAACATGTTGGAATTGAATAAAAGTACATTGAATGTCAAGCTATGAGTTTCAAAGGAAAACTTTGATGGATTTTATTGAGAATCAACTGTCAGAGATGTACAAACTATGTTATTACTACGTTCAGCAAAACGTACTGAATTTAATTTTTGTGGGTTGACGAATTTTGTTGCACGATATCAGTTCTATGATTGAAATATGTCTTGCATACCGCTTCCACATATGCAAAGTGGAGAATGACGTTGCGAACTAAAGCTTAATATTTGGAAACTGATGCAAGAACGTTAAATGTTCTCAGGTAATTAATACATTTTTTATTATGCTAATTGTATCGGACAAAAAAGGAAGAATAAGACTGTTCATTAAATCATCTTAAGCGTTTTTATTAAAGAAATTTCAGTCACCCTAGTGTGATGGAAGGTTTCAAACTATGTGGCCACATTCTAGTCTGTGCGTTCTCAGTTGGCATATCAGATCAGTCGGTCTAATAAACACTCATCGATAGTAAATATTACTTCATTCAATGAACATTGAAGTCATTGTGAACATTAGATTATGGGATGATTCACTTAGTTGTCGAAATGTTATTCAATAGTCTGACACGTGATGAACTGAAAAGCGTTGATTCTTGCTCATTGTGCATAAACATAAGGACGGAAACAATTTCATAACATGAAAATCATCATTATTTTTGAGACTATACAAATATCTACTGACTAGGATGGATGGAAATCTGGACACACAACTTGTATATACCTTCAGCTCATTGGATGAGTAGGATTAAGTGAAGATTTTGGAAACTAGGCTACTGTTGGAAAGGTAGTCACAATTTCATGGAGTGCTCCAGAAATTCTAATACTTTGGCAAAATTCGACATCACACACACCAAATAAAAAAAACAGTGGACACTTCCAAGTCAATGCGCAATCAACTAACGGACTTGTATCATCACATCCATTGTTTTGTGACATCTTTCTTAAGTGAATTTCATCAAGGCAATGACTTTTGTAGTTGTTCAAATGGTGTGCCTAATCATTTTAAATACTCAATGGCAAATTCACGTATAGTGTAGCGTCGATTGAGACTGATTTCTCATCGTCATCAAATAGCTGACTGAAACTACACATGAATGTTTAATTTTATGAGACAAAAGTGCCGTATCCTAGTGTGAAACTAGCGAACTTTGATTAAATAAGCTTGAACATACCACCGAGAAATTCATACTCCACCAAAGTTCCATTTCTTATCCATCTTCCAGGAACAAATACACTGATCCTTCTGTTATCTAATGTGATGAGATGTACAAAGTAGACACTTGAAATTTCGATTTATATTTTGTGCAAAACAAGGTGTTAGCTCGATTAAGGAGCATTCAAAATAAGGAAGTGTTTAATTGCTGATTACGGATAAAAAAGAGTTTAAACAACATCCCCCACAAAATATGTTTTAAATCAATTCTTGTTTCGAAAGTGATTATTGTTCAACCGGTAAATGGAAAACTTTGACGTAAAATTTCTAATTTCGTTCATGAGGGTGCCACTGCGAAATCTTCAGAAAAAGATGTTTACATCGTTACAAATTTTTTCACAACTGGTCAAAATTGAGATTAACTGTGAAAGAATCAGTAATGCATTTCAACCGATCATCTTATGCCTCTTGATCAAATATTCCCATATTCAGTCATAAAACACCGCGTTCGACCTGATCACTTACACTGAATGCTTATCTTGAATATCAGCTCCATGTCAATGTACCATGGTAATTGAGCACTGTGTAAAACTACTATCAGTTCCGCTTGACAAAATACACTTCCTTTGGTATTGAGTAGTGATATGACTGAGAATTGCAAGTTTGAATGGACGAAGATGAACAAATGAGTGGTTTTTATCGTCCGCCTAATACCATCGTTCATATCTCCATGACTGGATAAGTCGGTCGTAAAACATATGCTAAAAACGTCTCCAAATATCCATCTGCGATGAAGATATTCACGCAACTCAAATATACTACTCGGTATATCAGGGTAGTTAAGCGTCAGCAGACATGAGTTGCAAAATTCATTATTGTTAGATTTCAGCACAGAAAACTGAAAAAACACCAATAGGATTTCATCAAAACAACTCAAATGGTTTGGTGAAAGTAAAAAAGATGACGAATATAGAAATGTAGACACAGATAGTTTGGTTTCAGCTAACACAATTTCAATGTTCCATAGTTCGAAACACTGAGGATTTTGAGGATGAGTTTCCACTGTCATTCTTTATCACACGTGTTCGTACAATTTGGCTTCGAAATGTGTGAACACCCAATCGATGTTGAACTTTCAATAAACAGTAGAGTTCGAAAAGTGAGTTTGCGAAAAGTATTCCGATTATAATTCTCAAAATTTTTCCAAACACTTTAATGACAATACGATCAACTTCTTTCACACACGAAACAAATTATTCATGTGAACTGTGAACAGTATATTTCTGTGTTGACATACTCTGGTTTCCACACGGAATCTCACCACGGAAGATTAATTGCCGTTGCATTTCCTTGATTCCCTTAGAAATCTGAAAAAAGTAATGAAAGTCTGAGTCGAGAGCTGTCAACACCCAACCACCTATATCAAAATCAACGAACTATTGAAGTAATGTGTCGCCATTCAAATTATCTTACTCAAAGAAGACTGATCACACACATTAGACATACTGATCTCTTCAGTTCTTTTACAACTACGCTACATCTTGTCTACAAAGAAATTCCGAATCACTTTAGTCGTCAACTTCAGTGAAGTTAGACAAACAATCTATCTACCATGGAATGAATTGATACATTGTGAGATGAAAATCCACTGCAGTGGAAGGAATGTGATTGTGAATGACGGCAATTTTTCTGCACGTAAATTTGTTGTCGTATGAAGGCAATGCGTTACTGTGCTCACTTCCACCCATTACCGTTCAGTTTCCAAGAGAATTCTTCTCACATTTTTTTCTGATAACTTTGAAACAATCGGAATGGATCCAGTTC